CGCCCGCCCGCCCGCTCACGTGATAACTTAATACGTCCCCATCTTCGACTGGCGTATAAAAAGTGATATAGAAATTGTGTGTTTCTTTCTAACAAGAACTCTATCACAAAATGGGACAAAAAGCGTAATTCCTATGGAGAAATCTCCAACTTACCAATCATCTATCACACGGTGGCGAAGCTTTATCAGCTCTTGTCAATCTTGTGAGGGTCTGTAATATGGTCTGTGAGGTGCTTCATCATCCCAAACATACGCACCCGTCTCTTTCCTACAACCAGGAAACCAATTACAGTGCCATCTAGGGCCAAACAACAATGTAACAAGCCATTCGGATTGATAGGTCTCGCCTGTGCCCCCCTTTGACCATCAAGGAACATGTCAAGTTTGGTTGGTCCAGCACTTAATAGTTTCAGAAAAACAAACTTCAATGCAAAAACTTAATGTTGATGGAGATGCTGACAAAGTCAATGGATCATGAAAGGTAGGCTGCATCCAGCATTTGATGCATGGGTTGAGATGTTGGTCTAGCATTTATACTTTCAGTGAAACTAAGTTAAATGCAAAAACTTCATGCTGACGAGCAACACCTTAAGTCTCGCTACCGCTACTTCGTGGCGGCGAGACAAAAATCGACAAAAAAGAACGTATTCCAGCACTCTTCCCTGTTTTTTTTTATAGGTCATTAATATCATTTTACAAAAGCAATCTTGAAAGTTTTGAAATAACATTACAGCATAAGTTTCTTACCAAAAACACGAAATAAGTCATCATTACAGATCATATACTGTTTGTTCTTTGGATCCTGTAAAATAAAGAAGCAAGTATACAGATAGTGTCATAATCAAAATCATCAGTTCAAAGGTCAGTTTTCAAGAAACTTCAATATGTCAACAAAAAGACAATTTCTATATATTGTATTTATATTGAATATATGTCAAATGAATGTTTTCAAAAATTATTGTTTCATTTACCAGAAGGCTGCTTTCCTTGGCAATTTCATAAACTTTCTTCACGACATCACATCTGGGCATCTGTTAACAAAAACAATTGTTCTGTAAATTTATATGTCTGTTTATTTCAAGCCTAGCCTCTTGATATATATAGATTAATATCAGGAAAAAAACACTACAAGTATACAAGGGGAATAACTCTTACAATCGATGTTAATCTTGACTAATCATTTATAATATCATAATTTTGTTACTTTTGTGTATCAACTGTGATAAGCTTAAACTAAAATTGCCTCTACATATATATTCTGTCTTCAACTAGGTCAGGTCATATTTTGAAACTGAATACAAAATTATAATTCTACAGAAGTGGATGTTTCCTATATGTTTAATTTGTAGAGAGATTGTGTTGGACACCTGGTACAGCAAAAATTCACAAGCTTAATATAACTATAAAATGAAAGTTACTTTCATATTGGCCAATGCATAATTCTATGGTACTATATAACTTACATATATATATAAAAGTAAACAAGATGTTACCTTATTTGAAGCAAAAGGAATTTTATCACAAACCCTTTCTGATACTCCAAATAATGAAGTTCTGGGATGAGTAAATTACATAGGGGACTTAAAAAGAGATCCCAGAGGGATCTTGGCGCCCGCCATTGTACCATTTTCATTAGTTCTTAGTCAGTTCGATCTTTTCTCTTCTTTCCTCTAATCTGTTTGATCGAGTCATGTTAACAGTAAATGCACCTTGAGGTAACTTTTGATCTAAACTTAATACTGATGTGTATGAAAGCCAACCTTCAAAATGAGTTTGTCATTTCACATATTTACTAGTACAATACTTAATGTGAAAGAAACAGAATCGATCATTGCAATATGAGAAAGATCTGTTAAGTTCTTCCTTAAGCCATTTTGTTTTTATGATCAGTCTCAAAATATAACATGCACAACCAGGGATCAAGGGGAAACTACATATCAAATTTAAGGAAGATCCCTCAAGTTATTAATGAGAAATAGTACTCACAAACCTTCAATGTCAAAAATCGAACATGGCTGTCGGTAGGCCATTTTGTTTAACTGATCAGTTTCAAAAGTAAACATGTACAATAAAGGATAGTGGGGAACCTGCATTAGCTGTCCCAAAATATTGTTTTTGGGCGAGCAAATAAATTGAAGCACTGGCTCAAATGACATATTGATGGACCAAATATTTGGGAAGAAATATTTCCACAGCATTTAACACAATGCTTCAGCACATTTAAATTACATATAACATGACATATAAAATTTGAGAAAGATCCCTCGCGTTGTTTATCCGATCAGTCTCAAAAGTTGCCCTGCATAGCTAAGGACCAAGGGGAACCTTCATATAAAATTTGAGAAAAATTTGAATTCCTTTGGCACTTCCCAGGTAATAGCGATAACAAACTTTCACTATCAAAATCCAAGATGGCTGCCCATCAGCCATGTTGTTTATCGATCAGTCTCAAAAGTTGCCCTGCACAGCTTAGGACCAAGGGGAACCTACACATAAAATTTGAGACAGATCCGTCTGGTACTTCTTGAGAAATACTATTAACAAGAATTGTTCAAGGACGGACGACGGACGGAAGGACCACAGACTTGATTTGAATACCCCACCATCAGATGATGGTGAGCTAAAAATCCCAAATCTATTATATCATGGATTGTTATTTCAATAAGTCTTGAGCGGGTATTCATGAAAGTGTCTCACGCTCAAACTCAGATTCTGTACTTAAGCCAATTTCTTGTTCCGGTGATATATTGAACAATTTATCAGTGATTTCAAAAAATTCTGGATAGACAGATAGCCTGATAACGTTTTCAATATTTACACTTGACCTTTGGGTTGTGTCACAAGATTTAAGTGAGTTACAAGAAAGTTGGTTTGAGCACTGAATCCATGCTCGAGCATGAGAACAGTTTCATGAATATGGGCCTTGGTGAATGGATCGAATGTAGAAGTAACGCCAAAATAAAAGGTTGTGAAAACATGTCCTAAACTACTTGGACACACTGTAAATGGCAACTTTTAATTAGCTAATTCTACGTTACCTTATGTAAAACTATTAAGTAACTTAAAATATTCCCCTGACAAACAATGTGTTAGTGTCACAGAGGTTGAACTCTAAATCACACAGTTTGTTTAGGCCTAAGTGATAGATGAAGTTGAATATTTCCTGGAATGTCAATGTATGTGAATAATCACCTGATCAGTGCCCATAATGTCAGCCAAAGCTGGAGACAGCAGACAGGGCTTCCCATAGCCCTTACCTGCAAACAAATGTTGTTGTACGATAAGATCTTAATATACAGTGTACCTCTTCATCACACAAAAAAGGGGAAACATATTTTTCCCTATATCTAAGCTCCTTATCAATTTTTTCTTGATAAACCGTGCTTAAATTTTTTTATGATTCAATTTTAATTCCAAATGCAATAGATAATTAGTAATGGAGGCTACTGGAAAAAAGTAAATATTATGGTCATGTTCGACAATGGTAGTACTCTAGGGTGACATTTATTCTAATCCATCAATTTATCTGCCTAACTGGTTGGTACTTTTGAATGCCTGTTGAGTGTAAATCTAGCAAGCCTTGTGTGACCTCTGGTGGCTTATAGGTCTCTTTCTGAATTTTCAGATTAATACGATTTATGTTAAATGTCTGTTACATTTTTCTGGATTACCATCAATAATACACAAACTACAGATTATTTTCATGTTATTACATGTTTACCTGTTGGGAGTGGTATAAACCAACTAACAGATAATTTTAGCAAAAACTCATCATATTCTGTAGATTTGTCATTATAAATATAATATCAGTTGTTTTGTCTTTTATTCAAAACTTTTTAATATCTATTTTTTTCCTAAATTTGACTTGAATGTAGTTTACTACATATTTCAAAAGTTAGTGTTGATGTTATAGTAAAACAGTCCTTAAAACATCTGAAGATGATCTTTCAGTCAGTAAACCCTACTTTCTTGTGAGTCTCACTGTCAACCTTTTACTAGGTAAATATAAGTACTTCCACTTACCTTTTCTTTCACCATCACCTTTGTGTTCTCTGCTTCTTTTGCTTGGTTTCTAAACAATATGGAAATCAAATTGTAAGTAAATATACTGCTAGTATACAATGTATGATATATTTAGAATCAACAACTTCCAAATTACAGAAGAAAACATGACAGGCAGCAAGTTGTGATACAACTGTAATAGCTGTACATCAATTACCAGTAATAACTCAACATCTAACAAGAGGCCAATAGAGCTAGCATCACTCAACTGGTTATGCTGATGTCTGATGCATGTAAATATGATATAATCATGTGATATGGATGATCAAGGGCAGTTATATTTGAAATTTTGAAAGAATCTTACAGGTCAAGTGGTTCAATTGAAGTTAGGACCTGTTTGACGCCTGCAATCTTAAGCCAATAATTGAAATACAGTATATTTGAAGAAATATTAAAGCCCTCCATCCCAGCAAGCCACTTACAGTTAAAAGCATGAAACTTAAGACCTTAAAGTTTTATATTTTTAAACATATTTGCATCTTCTACCTATTTGAGCTTGAACACAGATCAGGGTAATTGCTTAACACACATGTGAGACCTACTGGTCTGTCTAACGTATCCAAGTATTCACAATAAAAAAAACTGCTTCTTTAGAAAATCTTACCTGTAATTTTTGACATTTTAACACTTTTAACTTTTAAAGTTCTATTCTTCATTGTCATTTATATGCAGATACTTTATAGCACACTATCCAAGCTTCCTGCTTGACAAATTTCAGGACCCTAGGCCTAATGGAATTTTAAAGGAATATTCTAAAGGCTTTTTACCCATCTATAGCCAACCTAAACAAAATATGACAAAAAAAAGATTCACACTGCTGGTCTTCACAACATATCCAATTACCGGTATCATTGCTTTAGACCTAGCGGTTATTTTCAGATTTTTTTTCAAATGATGTTTTTCAAAGAAAGAAGTTCACACAGAGAAGATGGATGCTGCATCATACTATAATTTAAGCTCATAGGCACTCCGTGTCAATGTTATAACCTACCGGTGGTCGTTTAGGCGTGCGGCTACTTCGGCGAGGACCAATCTCCTCCTCTTGTAGTTGGCGAGCTATCTCTTCATCATCCATACCATCCTGTAAAATAGCTGCAAGTTTTGAATTTGCATTCTTTCCTACCTTTCAGATTATAATTCTTACCATAATAATGAATACACTGATAATTTTTTAATGGTATTTAGACGGAAACCAAAGTAATTTAAATACTCTCCAGTGTTCTTGTTGATGTTTTTTTTAATGTCTATTTCATCAAAACAAATGGCCTAAGCTAAAGAGACCTGTTTTGCTTTTATATCTGTTATTCAATTTTGTTGGCAAATTATCTTTCGTGCTAAAAAGATTGTAATCTTTGCCTTATATTAGCCACTCATGATCAAGAAGCAATAAGATAGCATCATTTGATTTTATATTTGTTTGATAAAACTTGAATCAGGGCAGCCTCACATCCTAACTAGGAATGTATACATTTTACAGGTCAGATGTCTAAGCATAGTTATTCTTATTAAATCTTCAAAGTTTCAACACATCTGACTGCTGTGACCTTGATCATGGGTCAAGGTTACTTATTAGAGCAGCCTTTCACTCTTGCCAGCTACATGTACAGGCCAGATATTATTACTGTTACGAAATCTGTTTCAGTTTTTAAGACTTTTGCATAGGTGTTCTGAGTCATAATTTTACCAAAAAAATAATAAATTCTAGGTCTTTGAAGGACGACCAAAATCATATAAGTTCCCTTTCTTTGTTATTTTATAGTGCTATCCCATCATCATATATCTTGCCACCTATTTCAGACTGTAGTTAAGTGTGCGCCTTACTCAATCGCTTCAAAAGTCAAGCTGGTGTTTTTGGGTAACGATTAGTCCTGAGGGCCCCATGTCACAGAAGCATACACTTGGTCCTGAAGTAATTTGTATTAATTATCTGCCATACAATGAGCAAATAACAGAGAAAAAATCAACATATGTACATGTACTATTATGATGGAATATCTAGTTAGGTTGAGAAACTGTAGAAAGTCATTAGCAAAGGCATGACACTTACTGTCACTTCACCCAATTTTTCATTTTCTATCTGTCTTTGAGATTTTGGTCTCTTTTTTGGTGGCTCCTCTTCCTTCAACACAAAAACAAAATAAACAGTTTCATAAGTCACAGTTCAATCTATTAAAACTGATCAATTTGCAATAGACTTATTCGTATATCATTTAGAGACAAACAATTTCTAGTAGACCAAGTAATACTCATGATATACTACAGTGAATCAGTGATCATGATATACTACAGTGAATCAGTGATCATGATATACTACAGTTGTGGGATCACACAACGTTACACGATGTGCGCCCAATGTTTGCACGGTGTGTGAACGATATGCGAATGATAAAAAGTTGGACGATGGACAAACAATGTGCGATAACAATCATGGTTGGTGTAAATTGAGGAATACTATAACAATATATACATGTACGGTTTCTCTTTTTAAACATATAAACTTGATTTTTATGAGTTTCTATAGTCTAACTACACCTATAAGCTTATCTTTATGTCTATACTTTCTTATATTTAGAAATTGTGTTTTCCGTATTTTTTAAACGACCTTAATTGACACATGTAAAATTACAACACAGTCCCGCCGTATACAGGTAAACATAGCCACTTTGTACATGTACCTGGACTGTAATTTTCCCCTTTCGGGGCACTTACATATTTCGTTGGGTAGGGTCAGGGGTGTGAAAACCCCAGGTGAAGGGGAGCTATAGGCAAACTGCAAATAACAAATACTAAATGTCCAGTTGTGTTTTCATTACGGTCATACAGTATCGCATATCAGCTCCATGTGTCAGGTACAGGCCAGGTAAAATTCCGGTCACTCATCAAATTGTTATTTACCTGTTCTGTTACCTTGGAGCCAAACCCATTCTTGACAGTATAACGGTCACTGTAATGCTGTGTTACACGCATTGCAAAACTGTACATAATCTTTATCACAGTGATGAGAAATTACAGTAATACATACAGCTTTCATTAATGCATACAAGCTTTCCGTATTTTTTTTCATTCCATAATATTTATCTACAAATTGTACCGTATCGCACAGTTGTGCGGAGAGAATCGACAACTTGGCGAACGATTGTTAAATCGCACAGTTGTGTGCACCATGTGCGAACGATGTTGTGCGCACGCTATTTTTGGTGCGTTGTGTTGTCACACAACTGTACCTTTAGATGACACAATAATGTGTTAGAACTAGGAAATTAAAGATTATCTGGTACAAAATGTCTGTACACAAGTAGTAAAATCAACCTCTTCTTCCTCTTCTTCTTCCTCTTCCTCTTCTTCTTCCTCCACTCCTTTACTTTCTTCTTTCTCTTCCTCCCCTCCTTTACTCTCTTCTTCCTGTTCCTCTTCCTTTTTATCTTTGCCATTACTTTTGTCATCTTCCTCGCTTTTCTCTTCATCATCAAGTAACTCCATTACTATGGTATCAATCTCTTTCTTCCTGATTAAATAAAAATGTCCATATATATCATATTTTACATGCAAAAAAAACAGTAGCAGGTTGAATATATTTAAATACCAAGCATAGGCAATATATACCCTAATGAAGTCACTTATAATATCATTTGTAATTATAAAACTGTAGTTATGATGTTTAATGAATGTTTCCCAAGAATATACTTGATCAACATGGGGAACATTTAATACCATTTTAAAATCATTTATAAAATATATATATAAATTATTGTAATAACTTAACTGTAGTCTAACTTGACATATTTATTGATATTTATATGTACTTAAGCAAAGAGTGATCCGAGTTCAGTACTGATCTTTTTTGGGTCCTGCCTCCTTAAAACTGAGCATACAAAATCACTGTAAAGTATCATACTAAGAACACTTCTAATTATATCTTGCAACAAAATGTATCAAAATTTTGAAATGTCACAGGAAATGACGTTTACTAGCCAGGATATCATCGTTGGAAGCATACTACTCTCTTCCTGCTAATACTCCCATACAATCATATTTTTTCGTGAGATTAGAGGTAAGGTGACAGTACCCAAATCGGATCACCAAACCATCATTTTATTAAATCATTGAAAAATCTGAGGAGGAATTATATTCATTTATGGTTGTATCAAAAATAGAATATCAATGGGTGTTCTCACAAACGAAATTAGCACCCGGGGCTCACTTGATATTTTTATAAAATGCTCTAAAGTCACCAATCAGCGTCCCCGGTTTTTGCGAATGTCGGTACCCAAATTGGATCACGGCTTGAATTTTGCAGTATCGTACGCTTTAAACGAATTTTTTTTTTCAGCATATCAACATTTTATGATGACCTTTAGAATTTATATGACAAAAAGTATTTCTATAGTGTGAATTTATTCCTATAGTCCAAAACATAGTGCATAGTCGTCGCACGCGCCATTTTTAAAAATGTAATCAAAACATTGACATTTGAGTTTGAATTACGTTTTCTTGCGCTATTTGAACTGAAAAACTAATTATCTGTAGTCAAAAAATAGTGCATGGCTATCTATTCTAAGACTACATCATTGTTATATTTATAAGTATTTTTGCAAAAAATGATCCGATTTGGGTACTGCCACCTTAAACAAAGTAAAATTTGTTAAACCTGAGTAAAATTTATAGAACATTCTAAAAAAGGCATTTTCAAAATGTCAACATATATCAGACCCTAAAGGAATTACCTCCCCATGGTCTGAGATTTGAGCTAAACTAATGAATTTCTAGGATCACAATCAATTATTTGCTTTTTTCTCAGCAAAACAACAATCCATTTTGTTTAGGTACAGTCTTATATTTTTAAAAATCCATTTGATGAAGAAAATGAACATAATTTGATTCAGTGTTAAGTAGAAAAAATACATGGTAATCCATGTAAACTGTCCATCACTTCTCATAAAAGTCTTCAATCGTTTCATGAGGTTGAAAATTTACAGTACACTTTTTTCCTGTTTTCCACAATTTAAAATCCGGGTCAAAATTGTATCTGTAGAAATACGTTTGAAAACCACTTCTGGCGTACAAACCAACGGTTGGTTCAATGAAAATTGACGAACATAAAATGAATAATATTTTCTATTTCTATAGATATCAGCTAGTATCCAATAACTCGCTGTTAGGTCAAGCTCCACAGCATAATCCTCACCTCTCGGACAAATCTGTTCCGTATTTTTCTTGAAGTTTCAGTCGAATCTTTTTCGCAGACAAAGTACTCAAGTCCGCTCCCTTCAGCATCTCTGGAAAAGACAGTCACTTGTGAATCTTATTAACTGAAGGCCTATTAAATAACATTGTGTTCAGCAAGGTAAACATGTTTAATCAATAAATGTTTTGTCAAATATAAACAAGACGGCAAACCTTTCACTGCTGCTCGCATCTCTTTTCCACTCAACTTGGCCATGTTGCCGACAAAGGAAGTCCAGATTGTCGAAGGGACGTAACTCTCACTCCGGTCGGTGACTGCCCTAGAAACAATCGGATCTTTCCGGAAAGATTCGAGCATTCATTTCTGAGTTTCCCGGAGAGGTCAAGATTTACTGATCAAGAGTTTGAGTTTAAACTATACTTGCTTAAAATATACCATACAAGTGAAGAAGGATATTTGTAGAACCTTTTCTTTTTAAGTTTAAATCAATTTTATTAAATATAACGTTAAAATATAGATTCAAGACTATTTTTCACAAGTTAGTCTACCAATTAACGGTCTCTTTTGATATAATAAGAAAAAGCAAAGCCTAAAAATCAAACTTAATTTCGATAGTTATGACATTTTCGGCTCTTAAACGAACGTTTCAACCTTGTACTGTGCGGTTTGTCTTTTTGTTTCGTGCGAACAGTCAAATGATTTAACATTCAGCTCTGAAAAAACCACATACACAAAGGAACCATGCAGCAGCGCTGAAGACGTGACAGTGTTTCTGTTTGGTTAAGATATGCTATATTTGAAATGTCGTTTTCATATGTATAATGGGGTAAACATATTGTGTAGTTGATATTTATTTTACAACAATTATGAAACAAGTTATTTCAACTTATATCAATCACTCTTGTTAGCCCGGATGTTAGCGTGCGGTGATCTTAGTGTGGCCCGGGAGGAAACCGGAGTACTCGGAGAAAATCCACGTGGTCGGGCAGGTGACCACATACCTTTTCATGTCCGATCGGGGAATCGAACCCCGGCCGCCTTGGTGAAAGGCAAGTGCGCTAGCCATTGTGTAGTTTACCACAGGATTCCACACCCACATCATATATCTATCTATCAAAGGCTAGCTTCTTTTATTAAGTCCTCGTTTAAATCACTCGTTAAAATTACACCCTGAGTGATCCCAAGTCGAATAATTAAGTTTACCACGAACTGTATACCGTTTCAAAGATTTGAATTAAGGAGTCTTAATTCAATATTATATTTCTTAAGGTTAATTGGTTTAATATATGTTTTTGTACTAAAAATTCATCGAATGTTTTGAGCTTAGTCTTGATCATGTATGTGCCATTTAACATTGCCGCTTTCTATAGAACACTCATTAAAGAAATCTTGTAATGCATCTTTCCCCTTGTCTATAGATGTATAGATAGAGATGATTTTCAGTGTTTCATAGGATATTTATACCTCTTTATAACGAATATTTTCTACATTTGGAGACATCGCGTTCTGTACCTGACTGTTGGGTATGTTGGCGAATAGATTTAGACCAAGAACCCATGGAATAAGATGATGGAGTATGTGTTGGAAAAACATATCTAGCCTTATTTATTGAAGTCATGGAGAATTGCTGATTTTCAGAATTTTACAAAAATTCTGAATATGTTGGAACATTTAGTTGCGTATGTTTGAAATTTCACAATAGAAACACAGCCTATAGCAACTTTCCATGCGCCGATCTTATTTCCAGGTAGGAGAATAATAATGATAATAATTCGAGGTTCTTATATACCGCTTTAGCATAGCCTAGTTCGGAGGTCGTCTCAAGCGGCTCGCAAATTATTATCTGTAGTTATAGGGCCTTTGCAACCATCCAATACATTTCTCAACTCCCTGGGGAGCATACAGCCGGAGCTGCCATTTCGGCGCTCACAGCTAACATTAACAATTCCAGCACTGTCCAACCACGTACTCATGGAGTTGACCAGAGACGTTACACTTAAAAATGACAGATTAAGATGGCGATAGACAGATTAGGACAATTTAAAGGAGATGTACACCCCAATATGCATTCGCGATGGTTTAGGAGCGTTAGGACAGATTGTGGTACAACTGTAGATTATGCCATGTGCACGTGTTTGTATGTGTTAGCTTCTGATGAGGTTATAGCTTATGACTTTTTATGTTGTCGTTGAGATATAATAGAGAGGATCTTATTAGTTGATGCTCATTGAGGTTAACACTATATCACATGTGTATATGTTATGTTCTGTGAGTCTTTTATTATCATTTCAAAAATGTGTCATTAGTATAGGTACATGCATGCAATTACGATTTTACTTCAGATTTAAAACCTTCCATGCACTTTTACCTACTTGTAAAAGTACTTACAAAGTATTACATGTTGTTGTAAATCAGCCTTGTAATTTGTTTGTAAGATTGTATGATGACAGTAAATTAAAAATCTTGTTGTTCATGTTCACATCTTAAATTGTGACGTTTGAAAATAGATATCCATTATAAATCGCAATATTTATAAAATAGGACTCAATACTCCCCAAAAAATAATAAAACAAGTTTTACGAAATAATATCATAAGGTGTTTTGTGAAAATTCATGTAGCACAACCAATAAGTTTTTATATGTGACATTTCAAAAGACTAGTACGGTATTTACTCTGACCTGTGACCTGTAACAAAACACGAGTGAACAACGTGTTATTGGTCTAGTTGATGTTTATTGCTGGTATCTTGAGATGCTCGTGTCGGTCAGTGTAGTACGTTCTCTGGTGTTCTGTCTCGCTTCAACAGAGATATAGACATCTCTATACTGGACAGCAATATACGTGGACCTTGTTATCTGTTCTATGCCGGATGGTTGGATGATTGCTTGATAGGTTTTACGTTCGCTTCACTACCGAGTGGTTCGGTTATCAAGCAGACGAGGAAAAGGTGGGAAAATGAGTAGAAGGGGTAAAGTATGGAGTGAAGGGATAGAAGAGGGAAACAGAGGAGAGAAGGGGCCGTCTGTCCTATATGTATTTACTGTATAAGTCTAGTTTTTGTAAGACGGCTCCCAGGCCTAATGTTGCCTTATCCTAACACTAGTCGTATAGCAGCACCAAGTCTGGACCGGTAGTGAGAGGTAGATGGCCGCCTACATTAACACCAGCTCCTAACTTTTCTAAAAATTTGGCTTGTATATATAATTTTGAGGTTTTTTTAGTTCTAACGGCCGAAAATTTGGTGCCGGATAGTCGATCCTTTGTCGGTCAGTTTATTACGGTCTGTACAGTTTTGGCCGATATGCATTGAACTATTAGGATAATCTTTGTCTCTAATTGATATATATTCCCGTAGGTATGGTATAATTGATATTATTGTGACATCTCCCCGAATTAATTAACTCAGATAGTATATTAGGGTTAATTAAATGTTATCCAATGTATACGAGTAGGGAACCAGGTGTTCAGCTCGACAATTGAGTGGTTAGTGAAATGGACAAACAACTATGTTTAAAAAACCAAGATATATCAAAACCTATCCTGCAACATGATCACGAAATGATTGATTTTTAGGTCACATTCAAATGAACCATACGTAAATCAAATATACAGTAGGCATAGAATGCTAATCCCACAGCCCGTTTGCTGTATTTTATGATGAGGTTAGGGCTTATGATTATTTTGGACATGACAACATAGTTGTTGATGAAACAAAAATAGAGAATATCTTTTTTTAAATTAGACGTTCATTGAGGTTAACGCAATACATGTATTACATGTTCATATTTAATATTCTGTGAACCTTTCATTTCAAAATGTGTCATTATTATAGGTATACGCAAATAAACAAGCCTTTACCCTAGATTTTAAACGCAGTTTTTAAGTGTACAGAACAACAATGAATGAAATAATTATGTAAGTTTATTTTGAAGCAAACAATAGCAGATAGAGAAATCATACATATGTAATTTGTATATTCCTACAGGGTTAACCCTAACCCTAACCCTAACCCTAACCCTAACACTGATTATGTGTTCCCATGCCTTTGTATACTGCAATCTCTTTGCACCACATATTGTGTGCCATGACATATTATGCATTGAATTGAGTTCAATATGCTCAATGATTAATAAACAACTTGAACCTAAACACCTTATGACTTTATACAGTAAAGTAAATCTTTTGGTTTTTTTTTTTTTTATTCTATAAACTAAGTATAGTGATTTGTAATGGTAAACTTATTATTTCTATTTTAAATCTGTACACCTGTAACCGAACATTCTTCACAATATTTCGAACATGAATTATCTGATTTTCAATTTCTGTAAACATTCAATTTAGCTAACAGCTTACAAGATTGATTTGCTATAGATATCACAGAATATACATCATAATCTTTGAATATAAATGATTGATTTTCGAATTTAAATCAAAAGCTTTCGAATATATCATAAATAACAACATCAGTTCATTATGTTTAACAAAGGTAAACATAAATAACCAGATTTAGAGTATAAAACACAGATTTTGCAATGTAAATACCTAGCAAACTTGCAATATGTAAAGGAATTGCAACATTTGACAAGCCGTTAATATGGCATAAATATGCTATGAACGGTCAATCGATATAGGGATTTCGTTGTATAATTTCAATAATCAAAACAATGAATACAGCTCTAAAGGTAGAAATGTTGGAGCTTTTCTAAAACGGCAAGTGTGCTTATTTTGGTGCATCAGAACTTCGGACACAACTTGTAATACATAAAATGTACAAATGAACTTTTAACACACATTTTTAAATCATGAAATCTGCAATAGAACTTTGGACACAGACATTAAGTAAATCCAATTTTTAATAGAACTTATGACACAGACATGTAAACATGAAATATTTTGTTACTGCTGCTGCAAAATAGTCTATTCTGCAATGTTACATTTACTTTTCGATATCACCTACATGGAGAATATGTTTAGTGTGTATATTTGTATTGAATTTTTGTCATAGAACCGCGGTTGCCTTATTTGTATCATTAAGTGTTTTCTAAAGGAAATACTGAAGGTAAAATATCAGATATACAACAATTCTATTTTATGAATAGCTACGTCAAACAGATACAATGCGTGTACTATTAAATGAATAGTTGGATTAAAGTTACCTCGTAGGTCCTGTTGTTACTAGACTTATAATAAGCATGGATTAACACGCTTCAATTGATATATTTACAACTTTCACTACCTACACACGTGGTGTGCACATGTACAGTTCTTGACCACGAGTAGGAAAACACGTGTACCGCTGGACTATTGAGTAATGATAGAGATGGGAAAACAGATTTAAAGCAAACAATAACAATAGCTATCTTGCAACAAGATTTCACTTCGAAATGATCGAATACAACATTTTTTTACATTTTCAGATGATATAGAGGAACAATATACTGCTTCGATAAATTGTATAAGCCCATTACTCCCTCGCACTACTTTCTGATTGTTTATCGTAATTGGGGAAATCTTCTACGTTTTTGTTCATTTGTTTTATGTTTTTTAAGTTCTTAAATTTATAACAAAACACCAATATTGTAGTCATGCATATGTGCATATTCCGAATTCGTACAAAAATAATGCGTAAAACCAAATTGTCTGTGTATGCAAAAATTAACTAATTTGAAAAAACATAAGTGTAGCAGCATTAATAAAAAAAAAAGGGTAGCAAGAACTTGAAACTAGGTGTTACCACGACATATATACTTAAATAGGTGTATCAATATACTCTCCATTGGTCCATTTAAATGCGTACTGTTAAGTGTTGTATCTCAATTTCATGATTTTCCATTATACAGTGTATATTAAATGTACGTGATTTACACCTATATCGACATTTATCCAGGGTGCAATACCTGTTCTTTTCATTTCTGATTATTGGTCACACTCCTTTACTTACTTAATTAATTCTCTTCGTCCCGTATGGGACATAAGGCATCAACAATACGTCTCCATTTGTGTCTGTCGTTGGTAGCGTGTTGTGACTCGCCCCATGAAAGCCCCATCTCCTTCAATTCCTGTGTTATGGTGCGTCTCCATGTTGTTTTTGGACGCCCATGCTTTCTTTTCCCAGGTGGTGTCCATTTCAGTGCATTTTGGGGGGTCGGGACCGATACATTCTGAGGACGTGGCCTAGCTATCTCATTCGGCGCCTCTTGATTTCAATGGTGGCGTCCTGGCTGTTGGTTATTCTGCAGAGCCCTTCATTCGTGATCTTCATTGGCCAGAGGATGCGACAGATTTTCCTGAGGCAACCACTGTGGAAGACACTGATCTTCTCCATGTCGCTATTGGTTACTCTCCAGCACTCTGAGCCATACAGCAAGACTTGCTCCACAAAGCTGGAGTAAAGTCTGAGCTATGTTGTGGTGCTGTTTTGGCTTGATTTCCAGATCGTCTTGAGTCTGGCGAAGGAACCTCCAGCTTTGCTGAGTCTGGCGAAGGAACCTCTGGCTTTGCTGAGGCTGGCTTGTATGTCCCTTTGTGCCGCATTGACCTTGCTAATGACACTTCCAATGTAGCTAAACTCAATAGGCCTGATCGAGAGGGGCATCGTCCAGATCGGCTTGAGTCTGGCGAAGGAACCTCCAGCTTTGCTGAGTCTGGCGAAGGAACCTCTGGCTTTGCTGAGTCTGGCTTGTATGTCCCTTTGTGCTGCATTGACCTTGCTAATGACACTTCCAAGGTAGCTGAACTCAATAGGCCTGATCGAGAGGGGCATCGTTTACAGTGATAGAGATTTCATCCGTACTGTTGGCGCCCAGGACTTTGGTCTTGGATGTACTGATGGTAAGGCCCACCTTACTGGCAAAGTTGCTCAACCTATCGGTTTTCTGCTGAGGGTGAGTTGGCGTGGTGGACAGCACATCAAGGTCACCAGCGATGTCTTCAAGCTAGGAGAATGGGTCCACTGGATGCCTCTGGGCCTGTCGCAGGTGTTCTTCATCACCCAGTCGATGGTGACCAGGAAGAGGATCGGGGAGATGATACATCCCTGCCGCACGCCAGACCTCAACGGAAACCATTCTGACAGCTGTCCATCAACTATGACACTCTCCATTCAAACTTTTAGTAGAAAAGTCGTGTCAGTGTGACCATCTTGGGAAGGATACCGCGAAGTTGGTTAGGATATTCCATATGCGCTCTCGATGCACACTGTCGAACGCCTTCTGGAAGTCAATTAAGTTGATGTACACAGGGGTGTTCCACTCTATACATTGCTCTAGGATGTTCCTCAATGTGAAGATCTGGTCAATGCACCTCTACCTTCTTTGAAGCCAACATGTGTCTGTCTAAGTGTGTTGTATACGGCCTTGTTGATTACGTCAAGAAGAACTCCACAAAAGACTGTTGATGGAACTGAGAGGAGCGTTATGCCACGCCAGTTGTCGCAGTTCTGAAGGTCATCTTTATTGGGCAGCTTAATGATCAGTCATTTGGTCCAATAATCGATGGGCAATTCTCTCTTCCCAGATGTCGTTGAAGAGGTCAGATAGTACTTTACTTGAGGTGTCGACGTCTACCTTCATCATTTCTGCTTGGATGGAGTCGTTACCTGTTGCTTGCCCGTTCAATGTTCCGATTGATTTCTCAGCTATGATTGTTGAATATAAAAATCAAGTTTTGCAATATAAATCCCAAGACTACAGAAATTTAACACGCAATATATATAAATATTGCAAACCTTGAAATCCCGTAAGTAAGACATTATTATGTCCTGTCTAGTCAATCGAAATATAACGGTCGTTGCAATATTTTAATAATAAAAAATGAATGCAACTCTAAAAGTAGAGAATTGTTGACGCTTTCAGAAACCGTAAAGTGTGCATTTTATTTGGAACACTAGACCTTTGGACAAAGATCTTTCAAGCATTTAATGTTTCTTAACAGCTGTAGATTAAACATTAGAAGTTAATTATGCAGCGATACATCTTACAACTCAGTAGCACCAAAGTGGAGAATATGTTCATCTACTTGTATTGAATTCTGGCCCTAGAACTGTGTTTGGTTTAATTGAATAATATATATGTGTTTTCGTAAGAAATTGCCGAAGGTAAAATATCAGATATCTAAAAATAGTCACAGCCTTAGTAGGAGTTTAGATTCTATTTTTAACACTAGCTACGTCACAACGATACAATGCGTGTACTATTAAATGAATGGTAGGATTAAAGTTAATACTGACCAACAGGCTTCAGTTGATATATTTACAACTATCACTACCTACACACGTGGTGTACACTGTTCCTGATCACGGGTAAGACAACATGTGTACCGCTGGACTTTTAAGTAATGATAGAGATGGGAAAACAACTTTTAAGCAATAAAATATCAATAACTATCTTGCAACACGATTTCACTACGAAATGATGGAATACAACTTTTCACATTTTCAGATGATATAGAGGACAGAGCAGACATTAAATACAGTATGTTATCATCCCATTACTCCTTCGCTCTAGTGCATTAGTGGTTTTTTTTTTGTAATTGAGTTCATTTTTTAGTTCGTTAATTTATCACAAAAACTAAAGGTGCATAAGTCATAAAGTCATGCAGATGTGCATATTCTAACAAAAATTGTGCGTAATATCAATCTTTATATGTATACTTAAAATTTGTAAAAAAATAGCTAACATTGAAAAGAAAAGTATTCTGATTTATAATATCATAATTGGAATAACATTAATAAAAAAAGTATAGCAAGAACTAGACAGTAGGTGTTAACAAGTAATACATACTTAACTGAGTGTATCAAATATGTCCTGTAAAGTGTTGAATCTCCATTCGGATTTATCGCCATATCATGATTCTACGTTATGCAGTATACATCATATATACGTGATTTACACTGCTATCGACAGTTAGCATGGGTGCAGTACCTGTCTGTTTCATCTCTCAATGTTTGGTCACACCCCTTTCCCATAATATTGTCATATATTTGTTCTTCCAACACTTGATTGCACCCGAACATCCGTTGTCAAGACTAAATATCACATCTGATCAGTTCTAGGCTGGGCTTTGATTCCTCAGCTATACTTGTTCAAAGCGTCTGTCACAGTTTCTTCGCGACCGTGTCCATCGCACTCACCTAGGCCTGGTAATTCTTGAATAGCTTTTAGCGACTTACCCCACAATACTTTGTCAGTGCAGCAACAATGGTGAATATACTTCCTTTGGTTCATCCTTCAATGATCAATATTCAACGAATGTTCAACAAAAAAGATCGCCTAATGACATCAGTTAGTTCTTGTAAGCTTTGAGGATTGATGTTTCAGTATGCCATGAATGCTTCTGATACATGTCTCACATGTAATGTTTCCTACAAAATAAATCTTCTATAAGAACATTTAACTCTTCCACTCTGGCACTATCATACATACTCAATTAATGCGTTCTTGCTTTACTATGCGATTTCTTTTCTTTTATAAGAAATTCAACAGGCGCTATAAAGATATGCTTGTTAACACTTTTGTGCCATATTTTGTGAGAAAACCCCCCACGAAAAAGGCCATAATGAGATAACCGAGGATGAAGTAGTGAAAATTATTTAATTCCTGGTTAACAATAATTTGTTTTCAATTCCATGACATGGCGTTCCACCATACTGTTTAATACTCATCGGGCCAAACTGTGCCCCTCTCTTGACGGACCTCAGGAAATATTCATTGAATAAAAATAATCAAGAAATTGGGATGGGTAACAAAGACTTCGGCATCTCATATAATATCATCCTCAGATATAACAACAAGTTTTCTCTTAACGTATATGCCCTTCTGAACTTGAAATCGAGGAGTCTTCTACATTGCCATTTCAAAATATGCGTATCTTCATTATTTTGCCGATTTCTTTCCTCGAATGATAACACCTGTAAAATATTACTACAATCTATACAGATAGGAGCATGGGATAAAAAGAGAGATCATTCATGCATATTTCATATATCTTTCTAGCCTTAACTAATTAAAAAGCTATTCGTTCTGTTGTTTTGCAGTAAATGTGTTTTGCGTGTTGTAAATGACAGACGTAATACAATTCGTTGATATGATACAGTATCTACGTCACAGTTATTCAAGGCCGGACTGACCAAGGTTGACCATTGTCCGAACTTTAAAGCGCAAGCCACAGGCATAATGTATCCACGCTCCAGTGGAGAGGTCGTATCTCTTACTGTATACACGTATATTGCTGACGTCCATTCAAAATACGAAAATATCCTGTTGTTGTTTTTACCGGCGGAAAATTACGATTATGAAAGTTTGGAAATCGTTTAAGAATGGTACTTGTTTACCTACGTCAATTGTCCAAGCATTTGTGACTCTCCTCTGTCCAGGAAAAGGGGTAAAAATACAGACAGAAATACAAATCAAATTCAAATCATCGCAGACTTGTGTTTCTTGTACACAGAAAAGCATAGAAGAAAACTTCAACGTGTTGCATATACGCAATCCAAGCATGTTCGCAGGTAAGTCTCTCAAAGTTCGGATTAAGTTTTTCTTTTTTATCGAAGCAAAACAACAATGAATGATTAACCGAATGTACTATTATTCTTGAATTTCTAACATATATTTATGTATTCAAATTTAGTTTTTAAAGTTTGCACAAGCCTTATAGTACGATGTATATATATATATAGGCATATGCTGATCCAGTTCTGAAATAGCTATGATTCCAATATCTTATTTATTTCATGATTACACTTTTAAGCTGGGATGAAATAGCTCAAACTGTTTGACAAGGAAATACATGTGAATTAATCATTTCCTTTTAAGGTGTGATGCTACTTGCTGCATGCGTGACGTCAAGCGTTGCCTATTCTGTGCCGGTGGTTCAGAAGGCGGTATGGGGGAAGGTTCCCAAACAGACAATGCAGGGTGAATGTACCTTTATCATAGGAGAGTTCCAGAGACAAGGCGATTGGCATGTCAACATCACACTGTCCAAGGCCACCCAGTCCATAACTGTAAGTAACCATGCTAGCAAAATATAACGATGCATCATATGTACAAATTTGTCAATATTCAAACTGTACAGATGCACGAGTCGTTCGTTAACATCACGCCTTCAATTCATTTACTGGTTCTCTGTTTATGATACATTTCAACTTGTATTTATATCTGAGTTAATACCCAGAACTATAAACTGTTAACCTGATTCAATGGATGTGTCACCTTATGATTTTCATAATGTGTTGCTACCTATTTGTAGATGTATATCATGAATGTAACGTCGCAGCACAAAAAAGGAAAATGGTATTACGGAGAAAATCGGTATGAACATGGACCTCAGACACTCAGCATGCAGTTCCAAATTATGTTCAAGTCCAGACGCCCACCTCAGGGAATGTGTATTACAAATCTCCCTAGTCCAACGACAGCTCCAACATCTATGGAGACGTCAACAGCACATCAGCCTTCAACAACGACCACGATGTCAACGACACAACCCTCAACAATGACTGAGACGTCAACAACACTATCCTCAACAACGACCGTGAGTTCTACAACACAACAACACTCTACAGCGAGTGCGACGTCAACAACACAACAACACTCAACAACGACAGATAATACCAATGGTACTACTGTTCAGATAAAACGACTGCAGGAAAATTGGGTGTCAAACGGAAAGAACTTTACCAAGCTTAGTTGTCGCTTTCTATTAAGCGATTCAATGAGGAAATTCGGCATAGATATCAATCTGAACGAACCATCGTCGGGCTTATCTGTAAGTATACTTTGTGACATCTTTGTGTTGTTCAGAGTAAAAGACAAATCACTCACTGAAACAGTAATATTAAAACAGCTTATAATGTATTATTGCGAAGCGTTTGAATGATGTTTCATGATATGTAACAATTTAAGTTAAAATAACAAAAGAGCAAATGGCATTATTTTGTTCATTTTTTTCTGCCCCCTCAGATTTGGGTCGGTGCCATTGACTACATAGGTGCCAATGGTCGACTGTACAGAATCAGCAACTATAATGAGGAACACCCGCCCGCCCTATCCTTTGACTTTATCGTAGAGTACTCCTCACTGACCTTTCCGTCTGGTACCTGTTCATTGGACACCGCTGGTCAGACAATGTCTACCCGTCCGGTCACTACGGCCTCATATCCGACATCCACACAGTCAATATCTACGTCATCCTCGTCGACTGTGTCACCTTCTCAGTCGTCTACATTTATAACGACGGAACAAAGTTCCACTACAGAGGGTGGAAACGGACCGACTTCCACAACCCCAGGTAAGTGTTCAAATTGAGCTGTTTGCAGTATATCAAGTATTTGAACAGGTCAGTACGAAATAAAGTGTGCAATTAAATTCCAAAATTATTATTTGTCATCCTAAAATGTGATTGCTTCTACACGCTTAATTTGGTTTCAGAGCTGAATACCAAGTACGATTATGGAAGGGTATTGGAAGACTCCATTTTGTTCTACGAAGCTCAACGATCTGGTTTCCTTCCGGTTGATAACCGCATACATTACAGAAAAGACTCCGCCACATATGACGGAAGTGACGTAGGCTTGGACTTGACGGGAGGATGGTATGATGGTAGGTTTTTGGCAGAAAGATTTCAACACCAATCTGATAACGAATCTATAAAATCATTGACTTAGTGAAACGAAGAGTAAATTTACAAGTAAAAAACTAATATAATAATAACACATTCCTTCTGACCATCATTCTCAGCTGCGATACACATTCTTATCATGTGACTACTTTTATTAATTGAAATATATTTTGTATACTATACAGCTGGTGATCACGTGAAGTTTAACTTCCCCATGGCAGCATCTACCACCATTTTGGCGTGGGGACTGTCTGAGTGGAGAGGAGCTTACATGGCATCTGGTCAGCTCGGAAGCATGCTGGATTCCATCAAGTGGCCCTTGGACTACTTTCTCAAGTGTTGGAGGGCCTCATCACAGGAATACTACGCTCAGGTCAGTTGGTGACTCGGTATGTCCTGTGGACTTTATACAGATTTATCGTCTAACATAGTCTATCAATAATCGATTAATGATACTACACCATATAAGGGATCTTAGGAAATCTGCTCTCTTCAAAACTAACAACGTTGAAATTGTTTGACCCTCAGGTGGGGAACGGTGGTCTAGACCATTCTTTCTGGGGTCGTCCGGAGGAAATGACCATGCAAAGGCCGTCTTACAAGGTAACTACGTCCAATCCCGGAAGTGACGTAGCAGCAGAAACTGCCGCAGCTTTAGCTATTGGAGCTTACGTTTTCAAGCGTGAAGGAAGTAAGTCGTTAGTCTTTTTCTCTATTTTTTGTGTGAATATAAAACATATTAAGATAGTACAAACTGGGCATAAATGTACATTAAACAGATTTCGTTATGTGAAATTGTCAATAGCTATAACATGTATCTAACTCTTCGTCTCTACAGACACTGCTTACGCCAATGAACTGCTGTCGGCAGCCGAAACTCTATATACCTTTGCCAACACGTACAAGGGAAAATACAGTGATGCCATAAAAGATGCAAGAAACTACTACAAGTGGGTAATCAATAATTGTTCAATACTTATAGTAAGTATTATAACATGTGTAGAGCCCTGATAAAGACTTGATTTGATAACTAAATAAAAATATAAATAATTAATGAAGAACAAAATAATATTTTACTGTTTTGATTGATAAGAATGGTAATGTAAGCATACTTTTATTACTTTAGTGTCTGTGTTTCAGCTCACACAGCGGCTATGACGACGAGCTATGCTACTCCGCCGCCATGTTGTACAAGGTCACAGGAAAACTCGAGTACCTCGAACAAGCAGAGACCATCTTTATTCAGTCACAAAACAAAAAACCTTGGTCTTTTTCCTGGGACGATAAGACCGTTGGATGTCAGGTGTGTAACCTTCCAATCACATACATGTATTTTGTACCTGATTTCATTTGAAAATGTCATTCATGTACAGAATGACATTTTGGTAGTTTTAATGATACATTCTATATCAAAGCTCTATTTCATAGGATAACTTCCATTGGGTATGTTGTAGTTCATACTGAAACATTTTGTATCTACAGGTTCTGTTATTTGAGGCTACAGGGAAAGCTGTCTACCGGAACCTTGTGGCGTCGTTCTTACAATCCTACATGGCCGGCGGTGACGTTCATCATACCCCAAAGGGTCTGGCATGGCGGGACCAGTGGGGCGCCCTCAGATATTCAGGTACTTTCCTTGACCGTGCATGGCACTCTTTTTGTTCGACGTTACCATGAAACAGATACTATGTTAAAAACACTTGTATTCCTCCCGGTTGACGGAACCATTAGGCTTCCCTCAGGAGTTGGAAAGATATTTCCTCGAGCACAAATGATAATGCTTACACAAACAATACATAAAAATATATCGTCTTTCGTATCAGAACTATATCACCTGAATAAGATAACAACGCGACCTCGTTGGATTTCTTTTCTCTTGGTACTCCGGTTTCCTCCCACATTAAGACTCGTTGCGTGCCAACATTCGGATCAACATATAACATTTCGTAATTATTGTAAAACAAATAAAGTTGATAATATTATAACAACGCATGTTCACCGCTGATTATATGTATTTTTGACAATATTTTATCCTGTTACTTACAGCCAACTCTGCTTTCATCGCACTAATGGCGGCCAAGACTGGGATAGCTGACAGCCCCGCCCTGGTGACGTCATACAGAGACTACGCCCGTGGTCAGCTCCATTACATGCTCGGGGAGAACGAGATTAACCGTAGCTACGTCATTGGCTTTGGTAATAATTTCCCGACACAACCTCATCACAGGTCAAGGTTAGTCAAACTGTTGAAGGGAAATCGGCCATGTTTTAAACGGACATGAATTGAAAAAATTTCAAATGGATAAACCACTCAACAAAACAACAAACAACAGCATTCGAAACAACCGTAATACGAACTTATTCAATAAAGCTTTTGCAAAAAATAAACGAAAGAAGGGTGAGCGTTTTCTGTTTCATCGACGACACTCGTCGTGATATTGTAATTTAAATCCTATGAATGTCAAATCCTCATAGCGAAAACTGGGATAGTGAAAACAACGTTATTTCAAAGGTGTTACATAGTTTTACTCTACCAACATCATGTCTGAAGACGAATTACTCGATGTCTTACGTAAGTGAGTTATCTTAACAGTTCCTGTGATGACCTACCGGCACCATGTAACGACAGTAACCAGTACCGAGCCGGGCCTAGTCCTCAAATCCTGTACGGAGCTCTTGTGGGCGGTCCTGGCCGGAATGGACAATTTACGGACAGACGCAGTGATTACATTCAGAATGAAGTCGCGTGTGACTATAATGCCGGATTCCAATCTGTCGTGGCAGGTACGGATACCGAATTAAAAGTCACATACAACGTATAAACTGTATAACTAAAAGAAAATGAGAACTTGTCAACTGGTTTGCTAATATAAATTAAGTTGTGTTTACAATTCCGTGAAATTCGAAATGTAATAGGAAGTTTTATGCGTCCAAGTTGTCTATGCATTCACTCATAACTGTCAACAAATGACTGGAAACCATTATTCATAATAAGTGATAAAGGTGTGCTTGATTTGTTATTCTCATGAATTCTTTTATTTTTTAGGTATCCTGGACCTGGCTCTCCCCTGAAATGAGAAGTAGTTCTGCCAATAATTCAGAAATGTGAGCAATGAACATTTGGACAGCGGAACTCTCATTTGTTGTGATATCTGCTATATTATGTAGATGATAACATGCTATTTAATGTTTGTCGACTCGACATGTACAGTTTATATTTTATTGTAATAAAAATATGATAGAAGAATACAGTTTGTGTTTACTGTTTTAGGAATTATTTTAACCGTTTCGTAATAAAATAACAGTGAAATTGACAAAAAAAGGACATCCACGTCTAAGTTCATGAACATGTTCTCATGCTCTGAATGGATTTTGTGGTAATGTCTTATTTCTTACTCCGGTTATAGATTTATAAACAAAAAATCTTATTTTGTCAATCATTTGGAAAATATTTGAAGAGACTAAACGCCGAAACTTCCAATGTTTACGCTTGACCTTTTGGTCGTTTCAAGTGATTTAAGTGAGTAGTAAGAAAAGCGGTTAAAGTACAGAATCCGTGATCGAGTATGAGAACGGTTTCATGAATACGGTCCCTGGACATGATGCTCTCTCATAATTTGTTAACGTCTGCTCACCTGTTGTTTCATGTGCTGATAAGTGCCTTACGATGCATACTCTCGACATGTTGAGTATAACGATGGAAAACCTATTTTATAATCAGATGGTTTCAGAACATACCTGCACAAATAGAATGTCATCAGGTCTGGTTCCATCTGCAATTTATTCCACAATTAGGTTTGATTGATATGTTGGGTTACAGATTTAATTAAGTAAGAAAAAGCATTCTGCAGTTTCAAAATAAACGATTTAATTGGGTCTTTCTGACAAAAAAACCCTCCCTACAAATATGCACATACATATTACCTATAGGTTAGAAACTCCCACTAGGAAAAACCTGATACTGTCCAGCAGCGGTTATATGGTAATACGTAAACGCAGTAAGCAGGGAAAGACAATATCTACTATTGAGAGAAGGAAAGTTAGCAAAAGTGCAAAAATCAAAGTTTTAACTTTGTCATGCAGCTGTTTGGTAGGAGTTTGGCAGTCAAGTGACCATCAGTGTCAAGAATACTAATAATAGTATTTTTTGCTGACATACAATGTAATTGCTAACTTGACAACGGAACTAATTGATTTCGAAACTTATGAACAAGTGAAATACATTTTTTTTAGGAAATTTACAATTAATAATTTTCTAAACTGATCAATCTGATGAGTTTTGGTTTACATGAAATCGAAACAATTGACATGAATGCAGAATCTGAGGATTTCTTTGGTTACAAATGATAGGCTGCTGTTACACCACGATTTGATTAAGAGTCCTACTGATAGTGGTTTTCCCTAGGCATAATCTAAGTTGAGGTACGCTAATGTGTCCCAAGTTGTGAACTATTAGACTGCTCAGGTATACGAAATTTTTGGATCATGAGTTTAGTATAATACTTAACAATTAAATGAAGTTTTGACGCTTGTCGATTTCCTCTCCCAGCGCCTGAAACACATCGAATATTGAAAACAAAAGCCCGTACTGATTGTATGCAGAATCGGGGTAGTCTACATATCATTTTTTACACAATTCAACATTTTCGTCGTATACGACATGCAGAATCAAATTGACAAATTCGGAAATTTGAGGGTGCCTGAAACAACCAAAAGGGATGTGTGTCAAACTATGACTTGATCCTGTTGAGGTTTAAACATAAGTATATCCGTTGAAAACGGTCTCTAACGAGTTTCATCTGAATGTTTCGTTTGCTTTCATAGGGAGCTATGGATTTTAGCTACCAGTTAAATTTATACATGTCCATTATTTATAGTTAGATAAGATTTTGATTTGAACTTTCCAAAAGTGTCGAATGCTTTTCTAGTACGCAAGCCATTTCCTATATGATGGTATGTTTATAATAGAATAAATTGTTGTCAGAATGTTATCAACTTAATCTTATACATGTATATGGAACACACAGACTTTAGATTTTTGTCAAACCAAATAGTTTTTATGAAATTTAAACTGTTTTCCACCACTAGTAATAACCTGTTTTATGGTCATTGGCATATCTGTTAGAATGTGAAGTAATTTGCAAAGTGAAAACACCTAACAGATACATAAAAATGAGCTTTTGAAAAAATACTGCCATATAGCGATATTCCTCCCTGTATTGCGATACTATACGATACGATATGCTTTTTTATTGCGATTGACCGGTTTTCTTCAATCTATTGTGACAGCCTTACTTCACACAGGGGTGATGGATTCTATTATTTTTCCTTGGTAAAAAACGAAATTCCACCCAGTGAAGGTTGAAAGAAGTGTATATTGTGGACGGCATCCTTGAATTTCAAATTTAAGTATCGATATGGATTTTCTCTGTTTATTTTTTGTTTGACTTTATTGGGTTTAATTTCCTATTAATGGCTAAGGTCATGTAAGTCATTTGAAGATTTGTTCTCCTTTTCTTGTGCAATCGATCCCATGAAATAGATACCAACAAACATTTGGATCGATGGTAATGCTTGTCTCACCAAAGAATCGTTGGTGTTGTCACAATCTCCACGTCATTAGCTCCTTACACAGTTTCACAATTACAGCTGTTGACAACGTTACACGACATTAACCAAAACTAGAGTAGTGCCTCCTTGCAATGTTAACACGAGCACAACGATTTTTTTCTTTCCTATAATATAGCTTTACATGGATGATTATTAACTCATTCTCCCCTGAAATTTCATAATGAACTATTACAACCTTTGAATGCGAAGAGTTCAAATGTGTCATACCTTTTTTTCCATATTTCAAATTTCATGATATGTCGGCTTGAGGGGATATCTTACAGTAGTTTGTCCTCATTATAATTGGACTTTTATTTTTTTTATACTGACATCAGAGGAATATGCAAATTCATTTGGTCAGAATTCAATCTGGGCATACCTGAGTACGGGATGGTGGAAGGCAAAATACAAAAAAGGAGGTCACTGTAACCTGTTATTTTTCATTTTATCTAAGCCTCTGAAAAAGTTTGTTTGGGGCATATCTTATGCTAGTTCATCTGGACTAACCGGCTTTGATATGAAAGTGTATTTTGGCGCTGGGAGGTCAGCGGAAGTTTATGTCACTATAACCTATTTACCAAACTAAGTGTACAGCTTAGTAAATAAAGAAATCATTACTGGTGGGGACCTACGAATTGTAATACTCAGCCTAACATACATTTTACCTTTAGCTTACAGTTCATGTTATTTTATATGGGAGCGGGAGGAGGGTCAGTTAGCCTTTGGTATACAGTTCGTGTTATTTTATATGGGAGCGGGAGGACGGTCAGTTAGCCTTTGGTTTACAGTTCTTGTTATTGTATATGGGAGCGGGAGGAGTGTCAGTTAGCCTTTGGTTTACAGTCTAACATACATTTTACCTTTAGCTTACAGTTCATGTTATTTTATATGGGAGCGGGATGAGAGTCAGTTAGCCTTTGGTTTACAGTTCATGTTATTTTATATGGGAGCGGGAGGAGAGTCAGTTAGCCTTTGGTTTACAGTTCAAGTAATTGTATATGGGAGCGGGAGGAGGGTCAGTTAGCCTTTGGTATACAGTTCATGTTATTTTATATGGGAGCGGGAGGAGGGTCAAATAGCCTTTGGTTTACAGTTCATGTTACTGTATATGGGAGCGGGAGGAGGGTCAGTTAGCCTTTGGTATACAGTTCATGTTATTTTATATGGGAGCGGAAGGAGGGTCAGATAGCCTTTGGTTTACATTTCATGTTATTTTATATGGGAGCGGGAGGAGGGCCAGATAGCCTTTGGTTTACAGTTCATGTTACTGTATATGGGAGCGGGAGGAGGGTCAGATAGCCTTTTGTTTACAGTTCATGTTACTGTATATGGGAGCGGGAGGAGGGTCAGTTAGCCTTTGGTATACAGTTCATGTTATTTTATATGGGAGCGTGAGGAGGGTCAAATAGCCTTTGGTTTACAGTTCATGTTATTGTATATGGGAGCAGGAGAAGGGTCAGGTAGCCTTTGGTTTACAGTTCATGTTATTCTATATGGGAGCGGGAGGAAGGTCAGTTAGCCTTTGGTTTACAGTTCTTGTTATTTTATATGGGAGCAGGAGAAGGGTCAGTTAGTCTTTGGTTTACAGTTCATGTTATTTTATATGGGTGCGGGAGGAGGGTCAGGTAGCCTTTGGTTTACAGTTCTTGTTATTGTATATTGGAGCAGGAGAAGGGTCAGTTAGCCTTTGGCTTACAGTTCATGTTATTTTATATGGGAGCGTGAGGAGGGTCAAATAGCCTTTGGTTTACAGTTCATGTTACTGTATATGGGAGCGGGAGGAGGGTCAGCTAGCCTTCGGTTTACAGTTCATGTTATTTTATATGGGAGCGTGAGGAGGGTCAAATAGCCTTTGGTTTACAGTTCATGTTATTTTGTATGGGAGCGGGAGGAGGGTCAAATAGCCTTTGGTTTACAGTTCATGTTATTCTATATGGGAGCGGGAGGAAGGTCAGTTAGCCTTTGGTTTACAGTTCTTGTTATTGTATATTGGAGCAGGAGAAGGGTCAGTTAGCCTTTGGTTTACAGTTCGTGTTATTGTATATGGGAGCGGGAGGAGGGTCAATTAGCCTTTGGTTTACAGTTCATGTTATTGTATATGGGAGCAGGAGAAGGGTCAGTTAGCCTTTGGCTTACAGTTCATGTTATTTTATATGGGAGCGTGAGGAGGGTCAAATAGCCTTTGGTTTACAGTTCATGTTACTGTATATGGGAGCGGGAGGAGGGTCAGATAGCCTTTTGTTTACAGTTCATGTTACTGTATATGGGAGCGGGAGGAGGGTCAGATAGCCTTTTGTTTACAGTTCATGTTACTGTATATGGGAGCGGGAGGAGGGTCAGCTAGCCTTCGGTTTACAGTTCATGTTATTTTATATGGGAGCGTGAGGAGGGTCAAATAGCCTTTGGTTTACAGTTCATGTTACTGTATATGGGAGCGGGAGGAGGGTCAGGTAGCCTTTGGTTTACAGTTCTTGTTATTGTATATTGGAGCAGGAGAAGGGTCAGTTAGCCTTCGGTTTACAGTTCATGTTATTTTATATGGGTGCGGGAGGAGGGTCAGGTAGCCTTTGGTTTACAGTTCATGTTATTGTATATGGGAGCAGGAGAAGGGTCAGGTAGCCTTTGGTTTACAGTTCTTGTTATTGTATATGGGAGCAGGAGAAGGGTCAGTTAGCCTTTGGTTTACAGTTCATGTTATTTTATATGGGAGCGGAAGGAGGGTCAGATAGCCTTTGGTTTACAGTTCTAGTTAAAATGATCTTTTGGATGCTGCCATCCACGTCTCTTGTTTTAGAAAGTGTGTATACAAATGTATTAGTGCGGTTGACTCACAAAGAGCGACGTTCTCTAAATCTATCAAAGCTAGCACTAATCTTGGTGCTAGTGAATGTCACCAGTTGTAATTGCGATTGCCACGATAGCATCGTCAATGCTATAAAAAATATCCATGTGATAGAATTTTAATTAAACAGTCTCAAACAAATGTATAACGGAAAAACTTCAGCATCTAAAACTTGTTTGAAAATCAATAAATTTTGCAAAAAACGGCTCGCTGCGTCCGTTGATGCATACTTTCCTTATCAAACTGGACTGTTTTAATTTTGCTGGAAATATCTAAAATTGATTAAATCGTTAAGCGTAATTACAATGTAAAAAATACCCATCGATCCACCACAGAGAGCGTCTAGAGTGCATGTTTTTCGCTTGTTTTATTTGTTTTATTATTACAATTTTATTTTGTACTCTTACTTCACGTCTATTTAAAAGACATGTTTGTAATACCTTTTTATACTTTAATTCCTATAAACGCTGTGTTCATTTAATAATTTAGAAATCCACCGATATTTCCTAAGTTTATCTGTATGATTAGTTATTAACTTTAAATAATCGGATTGTTATTAGTGTCATATGGATGGGTAGGTAGTGATTTGACCCATCCACCTGTCCTATGACACACTCGGCTCAAGCTAGATCTGTTTATATAACTAGCTAACCTGACTGTCATGTATGATATTATTTTTCGTGACTATTGCATGGGTACTTTAGTTTGCTTATCCATGTATGCCCATATATAACACGCTTATTTGTATGCATTATCTTGTTTTATTTGTATACCCACGATTGTCGCAGAAATAGCACTACTGATCTAGTGATTGTTTGTGTCTGGTTTCTGATGTCATCGCATACGAGGACGGGGTACTTTTTCGCGCCAGAAACTACTGCACCTAGCTAATGTATTTCACGGAAACGCAAATGATTAATTTTCAGATAAATCTTTTAACATGCTGTATATATTTATATATATGGGTCAAAGAAGTAATATAGACGGTAAAATCCCATATAACACTGGATCCTAATGGAGGAGGTATCTACTATGTCCGTAGGATACGAATTACTTAAAACATTATATATGGGGCAAAGAAGTAATTCCACCAGTGTGGACAAGTTCAGGTTGGAGCGATTCTATCTTCTTATAATATGATGTATATGTACATGTAACTGTTCTGTTTCACTGTGTCTTGAAAAAGAAGCGGATCGCACCGAACATTTGACAACCTTAACTTGTCCACACTGTTGGAATTACTTCTTTGCCCCATATATATATATATATATATATATATATTTAATTATTGACAATATATATAGGCCAATATATTGACAATCCAGATCAAGGTAGCTGAAACCGTAATACCCGATCACATCGGGGTGCTCCGACCAGAGATTAACGGAGGGAATAAGTAAAAAGGAGGATGGCATGTTCTTGTAAACGATAATTGCTTGCATGACATATGCGTTTAAATATATGAAATTCTATAATGTATTAGGTTGTGATAAGACTGGTCCAAAACTACTCTATCCCCTGGCGGCGTGGATCCGACAAGGCCACAAGAAAGTCAAACGACACTTTTTGATTTGCAACGTTAAATAAATATTTATTATCTTGTCGTGTTTTTTTGTTTTTGTTTTTTTTTGCGTTTATGGAATGATTTCTTGATGGCGCACTTTGATAACCAGAGACCTTTTAATTATTTCACTGGCGTCTTGACGAAACCATTTTCGGACTTGGGCAAGGCTACAACTTGCTGCTCAGAGCTTTGTATCGGACGGTGTAGAGGCGGAGCTAAAACACCACCCCAAAATAAATAGTACCTTTGAGGTATTTTATCAACATTGCATGCAGACCCTCATAAATATCAGACTATGGTAAAGCTACTAGAACTACAGTACACCTATGTTTAATTTATATATGGATAATTTGCATATATAATACGCCAGTGGTACTGTAAAGATCAGTTCGCCTCAACACCGGTTTACATCAACACCGACCAGACTCGGATATCCTAGAGCGGTGTTGATGTTGAAACCGTTCGCCGCTAACAACACACGATCTGCGTTTCGTGGGTGACAGGTAAAAAAATCGATGCATGTGTTGTCAGGGAAATTATTTGAATAATAAGTTGTGTTGTTTAAATAAATGTTGTATCAATGCAGTTTCTTTCATCTGTTTTCAACGTGCTGTCAATGATTCACTGGTATGAAAAACACGCTCCAAAGCACAGGGGCATCTGTATCTTAACGTTACCCGGTTCCGGTTTTTATACAACGGGAGAGAGGCATGCATCGCTTTACTTGTAATATTAATAATAGAGGAGACCCCCATTTTTTAATATTACAAGTAAAGCGATCCATGTCCCTGTGCTCCGAAGTCTGTCAACTGCTATAAGTCTGCTAAGTAATCACGTCTCGTGTACGTCCGTCCACGGAATTAGATTAGATTGTTATCTAATTAAGTCCGTGGTCTGTCTCTACATCTAACATTACCTGCTTTACCTGTAGGCCTCTAGTTTCCTAGTAATTCCTGTAGGAACTCTATCTAAATCAGAGATTTATAAGTCTATTGTTATAAATCTCTGATTTAGATAGAGTTCCTACAGGAATTAATTTCCTAGATACATTAGCACCGACTAAATAGTTCAATTCGATTTTCTTCTTCTAAATAGCTTCTTCTTAGGAACTGAAAGACTTAATTATTATAAGGTCCAATTTGTACCAGAGGTGAATAAGTACAATGAATAAAGGAAGTTTCCACAAGTCAGTCACCTTGACCTACTTTCACATTTCATGAAGATCGGATATATATGCTAAAACTTGAAACACTATTTTGTAAAAAGCTGTGAGAGAAAAATGCAGTGGCGGATCCAGAGGTTTTTTGGGGCTTCAGGAAACCCCCCCCACCCTGAGAATTTTCTTTAGAAATCATATATTTTCACCATTTTCCTCAATTTTTCCCCACATGGAAACCCCCCAGGAAATTTGGAAACCCCCCAAGATAGGTCTCTGCATCCGCCACTGAAATGGAAAAGGGTCAGACTGAGACTTGGACATTCAAACTCAAGACAATTGGTGCTCAGACCAATTCAAATTGATGCCTAATCCTCCATCATCTAGCCCAATGAGACACCACCTTTACAAGACACGTACCCCCTTTACAGCCCCGATTATTATCCACTTGCCAAAAATACTGTATTCACACTTCTTGAAACAGGGCTGCATGGTCACAGGCACCACACAGGAACAGGGCGAGTAAAAGTGCAACGGCCAAACAGGGATTTAATTGAGCCTGGGACCTCCCAACTCCACTTGGTCACAGATGTCTGGTGTGGGGCCAGAGCTCACTCCTGAATGAAAACGGTGTCGGAGAGTTTTGAGGTGCTGACAACAAAAATCGTCTTTGACACAACACATGCCTCACATATATCGATAAATGGATTATTTATTGGTCCAAATTCGCTCTTATTATCACCAATTGTTTCCAAAATTCCGTCAGTAGAGTCGTCGGTTTTCAATCGTTCAAAGTTTCCCACCTGAGCGAACGCCATTTTTGTAGGTCATGGCGTGACTTATCAACAAGCCATACTGATCCGGACCTAAAACGGAATATATCTTTCTTGTTTAGAAGATTTCCGGACCGCATCTTTTTTTGTTGATTAATCACTCCCTGATACCAAACGGTGTCGGAGAATTCAACGTTTTCATATAGGAGTGTGCTGTGGCCCCACACCAGACATCTATATCAGAATGTCTAAGTCTGGTGTTAGGGCCAGAGGAAACTCGGGCTATAGTTCATTATGAAGACTATTTTACCCGCGCCCTGTTTCAATAAGTGTGAACAGTGATAGGCAATCGCCTTAAAATCATAATCGGAAGTAGTAAACCAATCGATGATCGATTGCATAATTGGTTTATAATTTAATGGGACAAATACCTTGATAAAGTGAAAACACTAACTATATTACATCATAGACAGAGTTGTTCACTATACATTAGGTTTCGTTCTTTTATAACTAATGGCTATCAAGCAATTTTTATGCATTTTTTTCAATCACATAGTACAAATCATAAGAATATATGACTTTCAAAGCATTAATATTCTTTACATGGAAGACATTTAAATACTTTGATTTCAAAGATGAACCGATTACTAGTATATCGGTGATGGAATTTGTAATTGATAATCGGAATCAGAAAGGGCAAACTGATCAATTTTCGATTATGATCAATCATCAGCCCATCACTGCTGTCCTGCACATCTTTTTCTAATGCTTTGTGTGTAAGGTATGCGGGTTGGCCAGCTGGATCAAACATACACAAGACTGTTATCTTGGGTTTATAGATCTGGAGATGGTGTCTGTCAGACAGTTAATTTTGCAATTAAGGTGCAAGATCTTGGGGGCCAGTGAATTTTCTTCTTATTTGAGCATCTAACCAAATTGTGATAAAACAATATCCTGATTTGAATGTACTTATATGACTCATTTACAGTACTAACTACTTCAGAAAATAAGTTAACATGTCAATGTCGATTTCACCCTCAAAACAAAAGCATGGTGAGGGGCCTGTTAGTTGTTTGGTTAGTTGGCATCAATTTGAACAGGCCCACTAGTACTGGTCTTGATCAAGTTCACTGATATCCTGTTACTTAATCAGTATTTTCATTTCATTGATGTAGTGTTATTGCACTTACCTACCAATCTATATAGTTCTCTAATTCTTGTAAGGTCAATTCTTTTTATGTGCTCACAGAAATATTTAGTATATTTGACATCTTTTGAGCAAGTGTTATGTTACATGATAGCATTGATACAAGGAGATTGAACTGGTTGGGGAAATTTCATCATTTTGAATAAATTAATTAGAGTTAATAATTTCTGTTACTGTTGTGCTGTGTATCCCTGCTCCTGAACTATTAGCACGCAGGCCATATAAAGATATCATTGGAGGGAAGATCATGAAGGACCATGAACTGACATAGAGAAAGAGAATTATATTATTGATCCATAGTTTACCAAACCTTGTGCCGACAGACTCTCTTGTGTTTCTCTGCCATTATTTTCATTTTTTTATACACATTTCCGGTTCGTAAGGATATAAATTCGGCTTGGTCCCATAGGGGGCTCAGATATCAAGGTGTACATGCATAAATCAATCACTCTGGCTCAGCAGAACCTAATGAGGTTATTAGATATATGTATAGCACACAAACATCTGGTAAGACTTTATATCATTTGTGTGTGTGATTTGAACAGCATTTAACAGTATGTGAAACTGAAATGGGACAAGATTACGGTATATATGGACTATAATCATATTCTTTATTGCAGCTGAGCTGAAGATGAGTTACTAGTGTTATTTGAAGATCAGTGCAACATTTTCTACCTTTCATCATGGATACTTGGAAGTGTTTATAAATAACATTCAATTTGGCATTGACTAGGCAATAATTGAACCTAAGTAAGACTGAAGCAGTGAAGTTAAAGTGATCTGCTTTAAAAAGTGGTGCAGGATTCAATATTTCATGGATGTTAAAATATCTTTTGTGAGATAGTGACATTAAACTTGGTGGGACCTAGCTGACATTGTGTTTGGACAGCATGGTTCTATCACTGGGTTATGCTGGATTGTACCTGGTCCAGTGGCTGGTACAGTGGACTAGAAAAACCATGTTCAGACAAGCCATCTCCAAGGTCGTAGGGTCACGAGGGTTAAGTCTCCTGGTTCAGAGGTCACCACAAGGATTTAGTGACCTAATGAAGTCACTGGATATTGACATTGCAGCACAGGAAACCAGATGCCTACTGAACCCAAACAGGAAGGCTGTGCTTACAACCTTAATGCCACAGGTAAGGTCTTAAGGTAGAAATTAGTTTTTATTGCCATGCTTGTAAATAAATAATAGGTCGACAGTTTTTGCACAATAACATAATATATATAACGGGATAAAAATAAAACTTTGTCAACATATGCTATATAAATCTACTGTACATGTATTAATATTAAGATGAACGCTACATATAATTCATGAACTTGATCATAACTTATTTCCCTGCTATTATAATTAAATAGCACACAGCAATGCCAATTGCATTGGCAAATTGGCAATTGGGTAAATTCCACAGTTACTGTACATGTCCAGGCAAAAGTAGTGGAACATTTATTATAGCATTCTAATTGTATTTGCTAATCAACCTAGTGTTTATCTAACAATAAGTTTTAATGGTATAAGTAATGACTTTAAAAATACATATTTTTGTTTGTGGTAATAATTAGTGCTTACTGGCTGTAACTGTTTTGGTTCAAAAAGGAAGTACTGTACCATTTATCAAAATATGTAGTTTGAATAGGACTGTTTGTTTGATTAAACATGATGGGGCCAAAACAAATTTGGTATGTTTCAGGTATTACAACCTACCCTAGATTTTACTGCCGACCCTAGAAATTTTATCACCTAATATAACTTGTACATGTATCTGAGATTGGTTTATAAGCTAGGCAAAGTTCACAGCCACTCATTAAAATGTACTTTGTTCTTGGGGTCTGACCTTATTCTTGACAAATTAATTAATAGCCATTGTAATGTGTGGTAATGCATTGTAAAATTTTAAACAAAGCATAATATTAATTCACAAAAACAAAATTTAACATTAAAATAATGAAAAAAATTCAGGCATGTTACCTAAAACATTTTTGTTTGGCCTGTACATGAACATTGTGCTTTAACAAGGGTTTAAATAGCAATGTATTTATTGATATTGTTAGCAGTAAATTGTAATTGCATTCATACGTTTTGAAAAATATTTTTCATGCATAGTTTTGGATTATTTCCTAGACATTTGGGTTTAAAATAGTTCTTATTGCATTGCAATATTTTGATATATTGTAAAAAAAGAAAGAATATGGTTTAAAATTTAAAACCAAAGAAAGAAAGAATATGGTTTAAAATTTGAAACCTATCTGACATTTAACAGAAATATGCCATTTTACTCCTCGTTGACTCTTTAACTTTTCACACACAAACTGACAAAGGCTTGATTGTAAAGCAACAAACATAGGTATCATACATATCCCCCCTCTCATATCCCTCTCATATCCCCCCTCCCCACTTAACTTCTTCCCTACGAAAAAAGTCTTATATTTCAATATCATTAATCAGAAAAGTTGATACAGGAATAGGAGGAGAAAAGAATTGTTATCAGTTCCCATTCCAGCCAATCCCCACCTGTGTCTGTACAAAAAGAAAATGGTTCAGTCAAATCCCCATGCTCTTGGTACAATTTCAGGGATGAGTTGCAAAAGTGTGTCTCGTGCTTAAATATAGAATAATTGCATCAGCATGCATGTCCTCTGACATCTTCTGACTGTATTCATTTATGTAGTTGGAGGTGAACCTTGCGGACTGGACATCGTATTATGCCATGAAACAGCATTACCATACAGAAGGTGGGGAGGAGAACATCATTGTCTTACTGGAGGCTGTCAGACCTACAGATCGTATGCAGTTCCTCCAGCGAGAATTCTCTGTTCCAGAACCTCAGAAAATCCATGTAAGTAACTTGGACATTTTTTATGTAGGAACCACTAAAAATAGTAAACAGCATTTGATAGATTCAAGCATGATCAATATTTCATGGAAAAAAATTCAAAACGGCAGTCTCCAGTCATGATTCATCTAATATATAGGTAGCAGAATACAGTAGAAATGGCCCGACTCTGATAAACAAGGCACATGTCGAGGAAATGTAAACACAGCAGATTTACCCTACACAACACATGTATACATGTATATATATTTGTAAACTGCATTACATTTACAATACATATAAAGTACAATGTACTGAGAAGTGTATAAACCTCTTTTTTCTATGTATGTCACTTGTGTGAAAACCATGGTTACCACATCAAAAATTACCAAAAATTGCCAAAAATTGCTGTTTTTGACCCAAAATTTGATCTGGGTCACAGTAAAGTTGTAAAACTTGATTTTTTGCAATTTTGCGTCGTGTGCTGTTGTCAAAATTTTACCTCCTGGAAAGCTAGCTTTTCATGTGTAGGCACCCTTTCGGATTATGGCCAAAATTTTATTCTCGAACCAACAATATCTTCTTTTTTTTACAAATGTGAAGCTCACATAGCCCACTTCATCCTGCTTATATCAATTTTAGTACAGTTTTATTTTTATATTTTTTTTACATATTATTATACAGGGGTTAGCCATTTAACAAAAATATCACCCATGGCCACAACCCTCTACTGTATACTGCTACCATATATGTATGTATGTTACAAGTTTGTGTCAAGTAGCTAGGGAGACTGAAATACAACATACTCGAGCGTTACCAATATTATAAGAGGGTTTTTGAAGGGTTTTATTTGTACTAGTTTTGCCTCTATTGCAGAGGCTTCATTGGGTCCTGATTGGTCCTGATGAAGCCTCTGTGATATAGGCAAAACTAGTAGACCAAACAAAACCCTTCAAAAACACTCTTATAATATTGGTAACACTTGACCATTTGTTGTGATTAAGTCCCCCTACTTATATTAAATTCTTCTTTAATCACCCAGCATACTCCTTAGTACAGTATGTATCTGTACTCACAGCGAAGTAAGCAAATTATCAATTCAGATACCTTTACCAGATGCTAGCTCTACACCTTTGAAGTTTAAAAGAAGTTTGTGTCAAGAGATAATACGATATTTATCAAGGTTTTACCGGAAAAAACAGGAACTGCAATATTTCAAACTTTTTTAATTGTGGATATTTGACAATTATACACATTATACTGATCATAATCTTTGTTTATAGGTGGCCAGTCATGGTACTGCCTTGGCCTGGAGGACGGGGCCTCCTTTTGGCATCCTGATGCGGTGTTCCCTGGAGGAGCTAGTCACCCTCTGCTTTGCCTTCTGTGAGGGAGCTTTGACACTAGATGAGGAACTACTCGTTCAGAGAATCGTCAGTAAGTTCAGGCACCTCTTATGAATATATTTTTAAAATTTGAAATGACTTTTTGAGCTTTAGGGTGTTATTTTATTGGTCTTGTTAGTCCATCCCTACCACAGTTAGCTTAGTAGTAAGTTTGCTGTATTACCGAGATATTTTGACATGTCTCCTAAACTTATGGTTGGACAGTGGTATATCGTTGCTTGTAATGGATGAGTTAATCCTCGTATTGTGGACATTTGAAGCAGTCCCTGTTACAGTTAAAACTGATTGTGATATTGATTCAGCCATTCGAAATTCAAGATTGCAGTCAACAGTCTATAAAATTTCTGAAGTTTTTTCCCGAGGAGTCATTGAGTTCCTACTTTTACATAACACACTAAACAATTAATATATATATTAACTACTGCAAATTGTGGCCCAAGTGATCAGAGGCCTTTAACCCCTATATCCAGTCCCTATATATAGCAGACTGTCTCTTTCTAAAAGTATGGTACAATATTACTTTTTAACAAGCCATGTATTAGATTCATTATTTATGAGCACATACCTCCTATTGTACATATGTGATAAGGCACATGCAGCGATTGAAAATAAGTTTATCCTGTCACAACAAAGCTAACATGTGTTGTTTTCAGTCATACCTGTCTGACTGTGAAAATTCCCCCACCTGTTCTTATCTACATGTCCATCCCTGACTGATCTATCTGTCCGTGGAGGGAGGCTCCTAACATTATCTATTACATTTCAACAGCCAAGCTGTCGATCAATACACATTGTTTACCGAATTAGAACAGTGGACCTTTTTTGGTATCTTTAGTGCTGCTGTCTATTGATACCCACAATTTTACATGAAATAAGATGGTTCTGTTCTTCATCATAAATTATGTAATTATCAGCTCATTTTGTTACGCTACACAGGGTATTGATCCCCTGTCTATAGATAACCTTCATAGGGGTTGCATAGGCCGAATGGTTAACACGTCTGACCATCTATGATCAATTTAGCCCTCTACCATTGGGTTGCTGGTTCGATGCCTCCTTTGGGTCATCTCTTGGTACTGACCATAGGTCAGTGTTTTTTCTTTGGGTACTCTGGTTTTCCTCCACCAATGTAACCTGCCTCATCCTTAATTGAGCTTTTAATAGGATGTAAATCACAAACAAACCAAACAAAATAAAACCGGATGAAATTGATGACAAAGTGTGTGATCTGATGAACTTTGTTTAAACAAACTGACATCAGAATCTGATTCTTGGAATTACTTTTAGAAGTATTTAAGCAAATCTAATTTGGTAGATACGTTACAGTACAAGTGTGACATTTCTATTTTGGTTCGTCACTCTGTTTCAGAGAATTCTGAATTGTGAGGTATTTACTAGTCTACAGATGCCAATATATACATATATTACTACTTGGTAACACTACTTGGTAACCCTCAGACATACAGTTATCATTAATACAACAATGATTATAATAGTTACATATATATTATGCCTAATTCTTATTAAATTAAATAAAAATGCCGGTGAGACCTGGTCGCCTATCTATAAAAAACAACAACAGTGACTTTACAATATACACACAGTCAAATACACTGTGATTGTTGTCGGTCTACCTGACCGCTGACTATGCAGCCATAGTCACTGACTGCTGACCACCACCTAGTCACCGACTACAGTTCTGTATATCAGACCTGTCTTGACTACTGTGACCAACAATGCACACTCAAGCCTATGTATATAGTCATACACCTCAACAAGCCCGACTCCCTATAACTCCAGTGTTGGTTGCTGACACCCTAGTCGCTGCATATTATATGCATCAACGATAAACATAAAAAAATATATGAAGAATCTGATTTGTTTATGCGATCCCCATGTACATTTTTGCCAGGGTTGAATCCAACAGTTTAGTATCGTAACTTTCGAAGACATCGTCAAGGTTCTTTTCCAGACGATAAAAATGGAGGACACACACTTGTTGTTTGTTAGCCTTTTTTGTGTTGACAGCAACCTTATCCTCGAGTTGTTTTTGGAAATTGTCAATTGTGACGGAAGCGGAGCGTTTGCCATCAGCCAGCATCTGTTGTTGCCTGACAGATTGCATTCCAGTCTAACTGCTCATGCACCTCAGGTTGCGGGAATTTCCATAAAGGGCTATATTTAGAAATCAATATTCACCAGATAACCAGTCTACATGAGTTTTTGAGGACTGGATCCGGCCAATGTGATTGCTAGAAATGTTCATGTATATAAGTATGAATACGGCATGGTATCAATGGTGGTGGTTTTCACAGAACTTGTTATTTGGTATGAGCTAGGGTACATACACCCCCTTCCCCTATCTTTAGCTTATTCAAAAAGCAAAGAGGCTTATATATATGCGTCATTGCATTGTTCCAGCAATTGAGACCATGAGAGCATTACTTGCTTGTCATGTTTCTGGGTGCTCCTACACTATCCGAAACCATATAGAAGTAGCCCAATTAAAAGTGCAGCACCCTTATAATGGGCCCATCTTGACAAAAAATCTCCATAACAAAAGCTTTTATTGAGTCAAGCTGTACACACTGTGGAGTATGGATAAGTGTAACCCCAATGAAACAATGTTCTATTTATTGATGAATCCAGAAATCTTGCTGAAGGCTATGCTAACTAATCAATGTTGAACAGACCTGTTAACTTATTCACCCCTGAAATTTCATAATGAACTTTTCCAACCTTTGATTAGGAAGAGATCAAATGTGTCCTCAGGGGTGAATGATCGAGTTAAGATGGCAGTAGTACTATAGTGTTTTGTGGAATTAGTGGTGGTTATCCTAACCAACTTGTTGTACATAGTGTTTGATAATTTGAATGGGGTGCGTTAACAAGGAACGTTTTGAGACTGGTAGTACTCCTGGTTTTACAACATCCTGCATGGTGCTTTTTACAACATCCTGCATGGTGCTTTTTACAACATCCTGCATGGTGCTTTTTACAACATCCTGCATTGTGCTTTTTACAATATCATGCATGTATAGTGCTAGTGCTTTATTTAAGCAAGATAACTTGCCAGTCATGTCACTAAAATGGTTCTGCAGCAAAACAATGTTCAGGTGTTGGATTGGTCATTTATGTCACCTGACATGTTACCCATAGATATGTTTGTGATATATACTCGGATGACATGTTAGGAAACTTCAATATCACCCATCCAACTTGAGTTTAATGAATCACAGCACTGGTTATTTTGGAACCTTATTATTTAAAATGAGAAAATTTGATATTTATTTGCCCTTATTTTTAGAAAACTTTAGCAGATATTTTTTTCTGACACGTATGTGACAAAATGGAATTTTTACTCAAAATGATGAAATCAAATGAACACAGATTAAAACTGTCACGACTTGGAAATTTGAAAGTATCTAAAAATGAGTTTGCAGAATTTGGCCTTTTTTATCAACTTTCAAACATTTATCCCTAGATTCTTTAAAACTTATTACAAATACAGTAAATATAAATATTACACTAATGGATTATTCTAGGTTTATTTCTGTAATGCATGTACATGTATATGTCCTGATCCTAGTATTTCAGTACAGCTGTCTTAAAACATTTACAAACATGCTTCTTGCAATTCTAGAGAGGTACAGTAGTAATTGTTGGCTTCACTGGATTTTATATTGTTAATATTGTTTTTGTGTGTCACCATTATAACATAGTTCAGTTATTTGCTGTTAAGTACATTGTACATGTACTGGTATTATAATATCCTGCAATTAAGTGAAAATGTTATCTTGATGAAAATAACCGGCTATTTTGTAAAATTGTCACGTACTTTCAAGTACACAGTGTATATATATCAGGGGCGTATAAGCAAACGGGTTTTCAATGTGTAAGCTTAATGATCAAATGTGCTGCCAAAGGCATGAGCACCCCGAAGCCAAAGCTCGAGGAGGTGGAGAGGATAGAAGGGGGTCTAGCTTCCCCCTTTCCATCGGTGGGGGTATGGGGGGTCTCCCCCAGGAGACTTGTTTTCTAGAACACCTGAGACGCATTCTCCTGTGTTCTGGCGTCAGCTTCAATGGCCCTTTTAAGGCAAGAAAATATCATTTTCCCCTATTATTTTACAAATAGTTTGCTTTTTAATATTTTATATATCATATAAAGTCTATGTTGCGTTTTTTTGTTATTTTTTTTGGTCAAAAATGATGTGTAAGCCCGGGCTGTTTTGCTACATAGGTTGTTACGCGCCTCAAATTTCATGTTACATGATCTTATTGTTTCATTGACTTCTACAAATTCAGCATGCCTATTAGTTTCCTTACAATTAAATGTCCTTGGTTTTGGTTGAAGGGAAATAAAGAAAACAGGATGGTATTGCAATATTTTATTTTCAATTGAGAATGTGTATATATCAGTGGCGGATCCAGAGGGGTTTTTTGGGCTTCAGGAAACCCCCCCACCCTGAGAATTTTCTTTAAAAAACATGTTTTTTCCCCATTTTCCCCGATTTTTCCCCCCATGGAACCCCCCCCCCCCCAGGAAATTTGGAAACCCCCCAGATAGGTCTCTGGATCCGCCACTGTATATATAGTAGCTTAATGTATGTTGTCAATCCATATGAAGAGTAGTAACATACATCACATTTTTGGTGTGGCAGATAATGGTCTTATTGTGTTAATATTGATGTTACTTATGTTCTTACTCTAGATTATATATCAAGTTATAATTAATAGCATTTGTATTAGACCATAATATTTCCCAACTTTAATAAAATAATCTCAAATCATAATGGCAAAAGTTTTAAATACTAATTAACAATAATGAACATTTTATCACTATTTACTAATGAATTGAGAATTATATATAAATAAGCTTTTAAAAAACATTGATTTAAAGGACTAGCTTCACTTTTAATGTTCGCAATCTAGGTATACAGGAAGGCTAGTTAAGGGCAGCCAGGATATGTGTCCTAGCTGTATATATAACAACTGTTGGCCACAGCTGTGTATTTGACTAATTCACCTC